CAAAAAAAAAAAAAAAAAAAAAAAAAACCAAAAAACAAAAACAAACAAACTTCTCCTCAGACCTCATCATGTCCAAGCTCCCCAATCCTTGTGATGATCTTCTAAGGCCTTTGAAGCCCAGCCCTGCCTGCTGACCACCAACCACCCAGCCAGATAATATGTCCTGAGCTCATTGAGCTGACCCCTGCTCTACAGTCTTTGCATGTGCTGTTCCCTCTGCCAAATGCTTTTCCTTCAGGTAAAAAATGCTTGGCTCTATCATCTTACCATTTAGCTTAAGTATCACCTCAGAGAGGTGCCTGGCACCCCCTGTGGAGACTCTATAATCTAATCCCGTATTATTTCCTTCAAAGCTAAACTTTATTTATTTTAGAGAGTCTCACTATGTAGCAGGCCTGCAACTTGCAGTGTAGACCAGGCTGACTTTGAACTCACAGAGATCCTCCTGTCTCTGCCTCAAGAGCTAAACTTTAACATTTTTAAAATTATGTGTATCGAGTGTGTCTGTGCACGCACGCGCGTGTGCGCATGTGTGTGTGTGTTTGTGTGTGTGTGTGCATGGATGCATATGTGGAGGTCAGAAAACAACCCAAGGGAACCAGTTTTCTCTTTCCACCATGTGGGTCCTGATCAAGGACCGAACCCTGATCATCAGACTTCGCAGCAAGCCCTTAACTTTAAAAGCGTTTCTTGTTCGTCTTATCTAGAATGGTCTTTCCACACTGGAGAGGGAGCAGTCTCTTCAATCTTGTTCACTGTTTTATCCCCAGTTTATTTGTTGTACTAGTGAAGGGTACAGCAGAAGGAAGCTGTCTAGACAAAGGTTAAGGAGATACCACAAAGTTCCTACTGTGGGTCTGAGCCTCGTGTGTCTCATTATTTATGCTTCATATAAATTCCCTTGAGGTAGACACTCTTGTTAGCTTCATTTACACAGTGCTAGAGAAGCAAAATAGCTCCCCCAGGAGACACAATGCCAGTATTCCTACTCAGGTCCTTCCTCAAAGGCAGAGCACATTCCTCTTTCTCTTTTTTTAAAAGGTATTTGTTTACTATGTATGCACTGTTTTGTCTCTGTCTATGTCTGCACTACAGGCCAGAAAAGGGCACCATATTTCATTATAGATGTTTGTGAGACTCATGTGGTTACTGGGAATCGAACCCTTGGAAGAGCAACCAGTGCTCTTAACCACTGAGCCATCTCTCCAGCACACCCCCCTTTTATTGTTTTTTATTGTTTTATTTGTTTATTTATTCTTATTTATTGGTTTTTCAAGACAGGATTTCTTTATGCAACAATCCTGTCTGTCCTGGAACTCGTTTTGTAGACCAGCCTGGCCTCGAACTCAGAGAGCCACCTGCCTCTGCCTCTGCCTCCTGAGTGTTGGAATTAAATGTGTGCATCACCACCGCCCAGCTTCCTCTTTGTCTCTTATCACAGTTGGACCCTAACAAAACTAATTTCAGAGCAGGCAAGAAGGCTCAGCAGGTAAAGAGGCTTTCTGGGTCACATGTGTTTGATACCTGGGACCCGTGTGGAAGGAGAGAACTGACTCCCACAAATTGTCTTGCTCTCCACATACTTGCAGATATCTCCCATAACTAAATGCATATGTAATTTTAAAAGATTAAAACCTGATTTCAGGGGACTGGAGAGATGGCTTAGCCTGTCAGAGCCCAGCACTGAGGTAGTGGCTCACAGATTTCTCCAACGCAGCTCCAGGAAATTCAACAGTCTCCTCTGGCTTTCACAGACGCTGCACTTAATATATACAACCATCCCCATCAAATTATATATAAATACATATAGACATAATTTAAAGAAATATTCAAAAGGCTAGACCTGGTGGCACACACCTTTAATCCCAGCACTCAGAAGGCAGAGGCAGGTAGAGCTCTGTGAGTTCAAGGCCAGCCTGGTCTACATAGTGAGTTCCAGGCCAACCAGCCTGTCATTTCATCAGGGGAAGGAGATGGCACCCCATGCTGAGGGAGCAGAGCCCTGAGTGTCAGGACAGCCCGCTGAATGCAGGACGGTGACTGAGCCACCTGGCATGGCCACAGCCTAGGAAGGCCAGGAGTAGAACTTGTGTTCTCTTCTAAGAGCAGTGGGGAGTCAGAAGGTTTGGAGAGCGGAACAAGTGCTGTGAGCAGAGACTCGGGAAGCATGGGTGACGCCGTTGCCTTTGCTTCTCTTCTTTCCCACCAGTCCCTTGCGGAATCCATGGGACCCCTCAACCCTCACACCCCATCTCTCTTTGATTTACCTCTTCTCTCTTCCCTTTTGTAGGCTTATCCAGTGAGCTCTAGAAGCCAAGGGCTCTACACTCAGGCGTCCAGTTAAACCATGGCCCCTGGCTCCCGAGGCTCTGCATGTCACCTCCTTCTGCTCTCCCTGTTGCCGTGCCTGGGGGCTGGCCCTGCCTTGGCCAGAGGCCTTCCCAGGCCACTTGACAACTCAGCACCCCACTTGATCCCATCGGAGCCACAGACCTTTGACCTCTTCTGGGAGAAGCTGAGAAATGAGAGTTCCTGGCACAGTGGTATCCCCCAGGCCCCTGCTGATGGCCCCGAGAGGCCTGCAGACTCTCCCCTAGGACCAGCCCTGCGTGGACCCAAAGGAGCCCCTGAGGGCCAGGGTGAAAGACTCCTAATAACTGATGATCTCCAGCTGGTCCGGGGGCTTACCTCCCAAGGCTGGACAGGACCTCCTGACTCACAGGAGCTTCTGGAGCCAGAAGCACCTGCCCCCCACCCAGCGGGAGCACCCCATCTCACTTTCATTGCTACAAGTCCCAGCCCTCAACTCAGGAGAGCCACACTTTCCACTGCCCCGCAGAAGCCTGGAGGCCCAGCAGGACAGCAGCCAGCTAGGAATGAGGATCTAATGGCCCAAACCAAGACCCCCTTCCCACAGGCTTTCCCCTGGGACTACCAGGACTCTCCCCACACTCCGGTACCTGAGACAGATGTTAGGAGGAGGATAGTGCTGGGGAAGCAGGGTGGGCATGAAGAGAACCTCCAGGAGGCTGTCCAGGGCCCCCTACTCACCCAGCAGGATCCAGTAGCCTCTGAGGTTGGCTTACCATCCCCAGTTGAGGTAGCATCCACTCAAGAGCCTGGAGCCCAGGGAGACCTGGCATTGACCAGAAGCCTTCCTCTTCCTGAGGAGCTGCCAGCTGAGCCCCCCAAAAAAGGAGCTGGGGATACCTGGGAAGTCAGCTCTCTGGGACCCCAACCTGAGCAGACTGACCTCGTTGGTGGACAAGACTCCTCAGCACCCCAGTCCATACCACCTTCAACCTCAGACGCTTCTGATGAGCAGCTAAGAGCAGGTAGGTACCACCATGAGGGGGCTGAGTGGGGTCGTGAGGAGCGATGGTCCCAGGCAGCTAGGTGTAACTCTGGGTGTCATTCCCTCCTTCTGACAAGTTAGGGTGATGGTGCCTTCCTCCTGAGGGACTGGCTTCGGAGGAATGCTCGAGAGTCAGACAAGGTGGTGACTATTCTTGCCGTTTCAGCCATAGCCTCGATGAACGGGGCAGATCCCATCTCCCCACAGCGAGTGAGAGGAGCCATGGAGGCTCCAGGAATCCCCAAGTCCTTCATCCCTGATCTCCCGAACTCTGCTCAAGCTGCAAATGGAACGGAGAGCCCCGCGAGGGCCCTGCAGCCAGGTGAGGCCATGGCTAGGGGTGAGGGGAGAGTTACCAAGAACATGTGCTTAGTGATGGGGCGGAGGGCCCGGGGCTAAGTGGAGAAAAGAACCTGCTTACAGGCATTGGCTAGGACCGTCTCTGAGTGGCTGAGAAAAATCAACCAGAGTTCACCCACCCACCCCCCACAAAAGGGGAAGAAAGGGAGTTTATGTCTGTCTTGTCTTTGCTAGCCAGTGGGAACCAAACTAGACATTGTGCCTTATGTCTTGACCCAATGACTGTGGCAGGTGCTATATTATCTTCATTTGACAGCTGTCCTTGGAAAATTAATCTACTAACTACAGTTTTGAATATGGAAAACTCAAAAGCACTTTGTGTATGTTTGGGATTCTGTTGTTGTTGTTTCCTATTTGTTTGTTTGTTTGAGATGGGGGTCTCAAGTAGCCTAGACTGTCCTTGAACTCACTATGTAGCTGAAGATTGCTTTAAAGTCTTGACCCCCCTGCCCCTGCCATAGGAAGCAGTCATGAGCGCCCACAGCCCGCTCAACAGCACTTCCCGGGGAACCCTTTTAATATTGTTATTATTGCAGATGAAGCCGAGGAATGGCCGGGTCGCCCACAAAGCCACCCTCCAGCACCCCCTGTCCAGGCCCCCTCGACATCTCGGCGAGGCCTTGTTAGAGTCACCACACAGAGAGCTCTGGGCCAACCACCCCCTCCGGAGCCCTCAGCCAGCTCCATGGCTCCAGCCCCAGCTTCTAGCCCCCCAGCCAATGCCACTGCACCTCCCCTGCGTTGGGGACCCCTGCGGCGGGTGCTGAGTTTTTCCTGGGAGCTTCATGTCTATGGGGTGGGGGTGCTTTTCCTGCTTCCAGCATTGTTGGCCTTGGTCACACTGGCAGCCGCTCTAGCGGGACCCCGATTGGCACTAGTGGCTGCCGTGCTGGTGTTGGTGGCTTCAGGGCTGCGATCTACCTACATGCTCACCGATCCTTACGGCTCTCAGGCACGGCTGGGAGTACGTGCCGGCCTGGTGCTATACAACCTGCCCTTCCCCTTGCTACTCACTGCACTGGCAGCGCTCACCCTGCTAGGCCTGGGTGCTGGGCTGCCGCAGCCTCTACAGAAGCCGCTTCTGCTGGGAGCCGTGGCACCGGTGCATGCCGCAGGTTTGCTGGCCACAGACCTGTTCTCTACCAGGCCTGTGCTCAACCTCCTGATGCAAGGCTTATCTTGTGCCTGGGGCGCGTCTGTCGCTCTGGGCACACTCTGCCTGTGCCGTCGCCGTCTGCTAGAAGGCCCCCGGGGCTGGGATGCCAGTCCAGGCCCACGGCTGCTGGCTGTGGCGGGCTCGCTGGGGCTGCTGGCCAGTGGTCTGCAGTTAGCAGCCTCTCTCTGGCTGTACCCAGGGCCTGGCCGGGAGGGTCGCTTCTCCTGGGCCTGGTGGGGTGTGCACTTCTGGTTACGCCTACTGGAGCTGACCTGGGCCCTAGCCCTGGCTCTGGCCGCCCTGGCCGCCACGCGTCCCAGGCCGCCCACGGAGCACGCTTGCTGGGCTAAGCTGCTACGCCTGGCCTGTCCCGCGCCCACAGGCAAGAGCGAGGTGCCAGAGAGACCAAATAATTGCTATGCGGGTCCCAGTGGCCTGGCCACAGGTGGCCTGGACATCAGCAAAAGCCTCATTCGCAACGCTGCGGAAGGTGGACTGCCCGTCACGCCTGGTTCCGGACCCTGGGGTTCGGCAGCATCGCTGGGTCGCGGTCGCCTGAATGGCCCCGGGGTGTCCCACAGCAGTGTGGGGCCTGCACCGTCGCTGAGCGAGTTGGATCTGCGGCCACCCTCGCCCATTAATTTGAGCCGCAGCATCGACGCCGCGCTCTTCCGGGAGCACCTGGTCCGAGACAGCGTGTTCCACCGCTGTGGCCTCCGTGGCCTGGCCTCGCCGCCATCAGGGGGTGCCTTGCGACCCCGCCGCGGCAGCCAGCCTGACGCTGAGCTCGACGGCGCGGGCGCCTCCCTGCTCCGAGGCCGCTGCCGCTCGCTCAGTGAGGTGTGCTTGCGCAAGTCGCTCCCGCAGCATGTGGTGGACCCGCCCGGCAGCGCGGCGGCCGCGGGGACTTCGGGCAGCTCCCTGGACAGCTTCTCCAAGGGCTCGCTCAAGATCAGCTGGAACCCGTGGCGTTACGGGCTGTCATCAGTGGACAGCCTGCCCCTCGATGAGCTGCCCAGCACGGTGCAGCTGCTGCCAGCTCCTACCCCAGCCCCCACTCCTGCCCGGGCCGGGGAGCCCCAGAGTGAGGGCCAACAGCGTTGCAAGACCAGCGAATCTCGCAGCGCCTCCAGTGACACCATAGAGCTCTGACTGCCAGGGAGGACCTGGACCCTCCCCTCAATGTCCACATGAAGTCGCCGAGCCAAGACAGTGGAGCATTTGAAAAACTGGCCTTCTGGGACCTCCACCTGACTGCAGCTCCTGGAGACAGAAAGGCTTGAATTCACCAGACTCGGGGTTTTTTGTTGTTGCTTTTTTAATATTTCTATTCTTTTTTTTTTCAGCAGATATTTTGCACAGAGGCCGTGAGTTACACGGAATACAGGGTGGACGTGCATGGTTTGATCATGGGGAATAGGGACCAGGTACTCCTGATTCCCCAGTGTGGAGAGAGGGATGCACCTCACTTGTCCAGACTGACCGTCCTCTTTGTGCCAAAGAAATAAACCCTTCCGATTAGGCTCATGCCTCCCCCTGGTCAAGTCAGGATCCTACACCCTTATGGAAGAGACAGGAAGCCCTGACCCACAGGAACCAAGAGCCTTCCTAAGGAAGGTTGCCTCTGGCTCTGGCAGGCACAACCTCCACTGCCTCACTAAAATCTGTCTACTGTGCAGCCCCACCTCCTGTAATCCGCACTTTAGGAGAAAGCCAAGTTTGGAGGTATCCTGCATTACTTGGATCCTGCACTGACAGCTGGTATTCAATCCAGAAAGACCAATTCCTAAGATGGTTCCTCTCTTATCTCTCTTCTTCCTCTCTCCACTTCTTTTGGTTTTTTAATTTTAAAAAGTTCTGTAGATTTATTTCATGTGTATGAATGTTTTGCCTGCGTGCATATGTGTATTGTGTACACATATGTGTACCATATGTACCCAAGAAAGTCAGAAGACCGAGTCTGATCCCTTGGAACTGGAGGATGGACGGTTGTGAGCCACCACACGGGTGCTGGGAATTGAACCTGGATCCTCTTAACGATTGACCCATTTCTCCAGCCCTTCCCACCACTCGGCAGCCCTCGATTTCCTAGGGTGGAAAACTTCACTGAGGTAGCAGTGATGGGTAGTTAAGACTGACGCTTTTCCAGTTTTCAAGACCTTTCCTTTATTTCCTGAGATGAATAAATAAGTCAATGGCTGGGCTGTGGGGGGGTCAATCACAACAGGAGCTGGCAGCATGCACCTGGGAGGAGGGCTACGGTGGCCCCACCCCTGAGGGGACACCTCTCATCCTGGGCGGGGGGGGGGCCAGAACCTACAACCTCCCTAAGGAGAAACTGTCTTTTGAAATTCACACACTGTAATGCCTGCCAGTCTCCTAGGCAAGGTTCTCATGGCATCAGCTTCAGGGCTTCATTTTAATCCCCGGGGCTACTGGGGTCCTGGGCTGCTCAGTAAGGCAGGTAAAGGGTGTTTACCCCAATCTCAAAGAGAAACCATCCTGTCCCAGGTGTCCAGCAGGAGAGAGAGAGCTATGACCTCTGGGGGTATCCTGGGTGGAAGGGGAGATTATCTGCCCTTGATGAAGCCCTCCAGCACACGGTCACTTCGCTCTGACAGCCAGTACCCGGTCATGGCTGCCACAGCTCCAATGAAGATGGCAGTGAACACCAGGTCACCCTTAGCAGCGAGCGTGGCCAGAGCGCAGATGATGACACCAAAGAACATCTGCTGCAGGACCACCAGCTCATCCTCCGTCATCTCCGCGAAGAAGCCCGCCGGCTCTGCAGAGGAGGTGTGGCATGCCGGTGCCTGATTCCTGGCAGTTTCCAGAGCTGCCCGTGCCTCCTCCCCCACCTCATCACTGCTGCTGAGTCCACCTGGCTCACCAAGCACACGCCATCACTCACTACTCAGAAAGCCTCTGCAGGGGCAGCTGAGACCCTGCCACCCTAAGCTTGAAAGAGGCTGGGAAGTGACGGGGCTGCCCAAGGCTTTGCAGAGGACCGGTCCCTTTGGACAGGAGAAAACAGGCTTAGGGAGGCAGAGTGTTTTGGTGCCAAATCTGGTTTTCTCTCTACCTGGGATGTGAGGAAATGCAGTCTCAAAAGCCAACCTTGAAAACATACACAGGGACCAGGTACAGCCTCTTTGGGTGGCGGTGAAGTGGGGCCTGGAGGGGGAGCTTGTCTGCAAGCTGGACCGGGTCAGCCCAGCCCAGACTCCCCTCCCTGCTTACCTGGGATCTGCTCCTTCACGCAGACACCTTCCTCCTGCCTGTAGCCCTCAGCACAGACACAGCGGTAGCTGCCGTCCGTGTTCTCACACTGCTCGTTCTCTCCTGGACATACCACCGTTTCACACTCATCCACATCTGGGGAGGTGGGAAAGGGTCACAGTGCTGACTGCCCCGAGTTCCCGCACAGCACCCCAGACTGCATTTCACTCTCACCCAGACTCAATGTGGCATCTCTCCTTCCCTTGCCTCTCCCACCCTCCAGCCCCCATTGGCATAAGACTCACCTAGGCACTTGGAGCCCACCTGCTGGTAGCCACGGCTGCATTTTTTGCAGCGGCCTGGCCCTGCTCCCATACAACCCAGGCAGGCCTTTGCACAATCTGGAGAGGGCAGAGGGGAGGGGAGGGGAGAGGAGGGGAGACAGAAGTCATCTCAGGCAGCTGAGGGCTCTGGAGTCTCAGAAGGCAGAAGCTTGGAGGGACAGGCATGAAGCAGCATCTCCTGTCCCTTTCCTCCACCCCAGCCTTGTCCTTCAGCAGTGGACACTGACCTCGACACTCATAGGAGCCTTCTGTGTTCACGCAGAACTGGTTGGCTCCACAGGTGGCTTCCTCTGTGCCACACTCATCGATGTCTGTGGAGAGGGCCAAGGTCAAGAGTGTCACTTTGCAGGACTTGCAGAGAAACGAGGGCAGGACTGTCAGGAGTGGGCTTGCCTGCGATCGCGAGTGCAGGAGCAACCGCAAGCTGGCTGCCAACTCTGAAGTAATCCTGCAGCTGCCCAGTTGGAGATGCAAGTCTGTCTGCCCTGTAGCTAAGCTCAGCCCGCAGACGGGTATGGAGATGGGAGAGACATAGTCTACTTTTACCTTAGCCTTAACACAACCAGCCCTTTCTGACTTCCTGAGTGCTGAGACAGAAGCGGGAGATGGTCATGACTCAGCACCATCCCTACAGTTTATATACAAGGAAATGCCACAGATAGAGGGGACCTGGGTCCCTGAGTGACTGACAGGACAGCTACACTGCTAACCTGCACCACTCACATCAAGACTTATATGTGAAAAAACTTCTTTAGTTTATGAGACGGGGTCTCATGCAGCCCAACCTGGCCTGCTCGACTACAGAGCTTCCAAGGATGACCTTGAACTTCTAATCCTGCCCCTACCACTCCAGAGCTAAATCCTAGGAGTACATTACTATACCTGGCTTTCAATTCTTGTCATTCTTTAAGAACAAAGTGTATTTATCGTTTTCATGCATATATGCAAATGTGCATGTGTGTGGGTGCGTCCATGCCACAGCACACACTTGGAAATCAGAGGACGGATCTGCTGGAGCTGGCCTTCTCCTTGCACCTAATCCTTGTCCCAGAATTGGGTTCTGGTCTTCAGTTTCACAGCAAGCACATTTAACTGCTGAGTCATCTCACTACTGAGCCCACGCTGGATTTTTGTTGTTGTTTTGTTTTTGTAAGATTTGGTTGCTAATCTCTCAGCAAGGGCTGGAGAGATGGCTCAGGGGTTAAGAGCACTTTGTGCTCTTCCAGAGGTCCTGAGTTCAATTCCCAGCAACCACATGGTGGCTCACAACCATCACAACCATCTGCAATAAGATCTGGTGCCCTCTTCGGGCATGCAGGCATACTTGCAGACAGAACACTGAATAATAAATAAATCTTTAAAAAATAAATAAATAAAAGGTAAAGCAGAGGCAAGGGAGTCTCTGAGTTCGAGGCCAGCCTGGTCTGCAAAGCAAGTTCCAAGACAGTGAGGGCTACACAAAGAAACCCTGTCTCAAAAAACTTAAGTGGGGAAAAGAAAAAAGACTTGGCCGAAGTAGCACCTCTTCCAAGAAGGCCTTCCTGTTCATCACTGCCCTGCGCTGAGCTGGCCTGGGTGTGCATCCTCTGCTGCTCGCAGGTCATGCTAGACTGTGAACACCTCTGATGCCTTTCCAGGCCGAGGGTTCATGTGAATGGGATGGTACTGGTATAGGCCAGCGAGTCAAGTCCAGGCCCTACCAGTGTTCCCCACTTACCTACACACTTGAGATGATGCAGGGCCCAGCCTTTCTTGCACTGCAGACAGTGGGATTCCTCAGGTCCTGTGCAGCGGGCACAGGGACCAAAACATGCTGAGTAAAAAGCAGACAGTATGAGGACGGGCAGGCAGGTATCCTGGCTACCCCTGCCCCGCACCACACCTTTTGGCTACCTACCCGAACATACCAGATGGCTGCTGTTGCGCTCTGCCTCAAAGTAGCCAAGGCCACACTGGCCACAGGCCTCGCCCCCATAGCCGACTTGACAGTCACAGTGCCCGCTGCCCCCTCGAGTCCCTTCCCCTTCACACTGCCCGTAGCCACCGCAGGGCCTCTCTGTGCCCCCAGGACATGCTGTGGGCAGACATCAATTGGGTGAGATCTTATATGCAACTTTGTCATCCAAGAGGTTATTTTCTACATGGTCCTAAATAATTTTTGGAAAGGAAGATTAAGTTTAATATTCACATAGTCTGTCATAAAGCTATATAAAATAGCCTATTGCAAAACAATTAAGCAAACTTTTCACTTATTTTTATTTAACTACTTAGTTTTTTTTTTCTTTTTCTTTTTTGAGAGGTCTCATTTATATAGCCTTAGCTGGTCTGGAACTCACTATATAGACCAGGGCAGCCTCAAACTCAATTCTCCTTCCTTCATACATACACACAGTGTTTGTTTATGTTTGCGATGGACTCTTCAGAAAGACCAGATAATTTATCTGAACAGACTTTGAACAGCCTCCTGCCTCAGCTTCTGGAGTGCCAGCATGACAGGCATGCACCACCACATCTTATGAATCTTTTCTAAAGGCTGAACTGATCGTTCCCATGCCGGACCCTTTTCCTTATTTACAGGAAAAGTAATTCCAAAAAGGGCTAGGGGCCTGGCATGATGGCACACGCCTGCAATTCCAGCACCCAGAAGGTTCAGTCCGGATTATACAAGTTCAGAGCCTGGGCTCACAGATGCAACCCTGCCACCTCAAACAAAAACAAAACCAGTAATAAATAAGTTAATTAAGACAGAACTAGACTAAGTTTAGCTCTTGCCTTGTATCTGAAGAGGTGGACAGACAGCAATAATGGAGGCTTCAGGGCATGTGTCTGCCCCTCCCTAGGTACGGTCTGACTAGAGGGGAGAATGAAGGATGCAGGGGTGGGGTAACTTTTATTTAATAGCTGATAACAGTAATATTGCACCAGGCTAGCCCTGTGCCTCTTTTCCCAGCTAGACCCACTGATGTGTTCACTTCAGGCCTGAGAGACAGGCCAGAGCACAGGACTGGAGATGCCACCTGAGTAACCCTGCTCACACACAGCCTAGCCTGGCTCCAGGGCCTCAGCAGTCTCCTCCCACTTCCAAGGAGGACTCACGCAGGCAGGAGGGCCCAAAAGTGCCAGAGGGGCAGCAGAGCTTCAAGGAATCCGAACAGAGCCACTGGAAGAGGTCTGGAGCTTCTTGCTGCCTAAGACGGGGCAGACGAGGTGAAAGGGAGAGCGGTGCTGAGACAGTGTCAGAGTGGCCGCCTCCTTCTGCCTTACCCAGCTGTAACTCAGCCTGGGCATGTGTCCCAGAAACCACTTGACTAAGGCCCCTTTTCCATTTGGCAGAGGGGTAAATAGGCCCAGAATGGGAGCCTGGTACCCACAACAAGTCCTTAGACCTAGGTTTGGAAGGCTCCAAACAAGGCTGGCGTGCAACCATTTCTTGGCAGTAAAAACCA